GTAAAAGCACAGTAAGTACGTCTTCATCTCGATTTCATGGTCAATCCAACCAACAAAATAGAATTTGATTCAAATAAAGCAATAATAAATTAACAAGTAAACTTTATACCTACCTCACTAACCATTTACGTAACAAAAGCCTCAAATTTATATTTTCTAACACCAAGCACCAATTCACCTCACGCCATTTTTTTGTTTTATAACGAAAGTGAATGAAACTTCAAACTTTGGCAGCTCGACGACTTTTGTTTATGATAAACTGTTGCCAATATAATAAAATTGATTCCCGCCCTTGTTCTAGCCGTTTTTGTTTTTTTTCGTCCATTATTGGTTCCTTGTCCATCACTGGTGCGTTTACCTTGATCTTGACTGAAATTTTCTAATTTTATACTTTAAGTATATTTTTATTTTAAATGCTTAAGGACAGTAACAAATAACACCGAAATGAAATAAAGTAATTTATTTTGATTAAATATTGTATTTTTTATTTAGTTTTTCCGATGTTGTAGGATTTTTTGTCAGTACTTCTATTGGCTATGTGCAAAGCGAGTAGTGGCGGACAGATAACGACCGCAGCGCACAACACGGCAGAAATTGGAAACAAATGCGGACGATCAGTTGTCGGTTTTTATTATTATATTCATTTTACAGTAAAACTATTGAATAAATTGCACTTAAATAATGTCAACAATAATGTTTTAATCTTTGGTTTTATTTATATTTGCAAAGAAAATTATAATGATTACATTGTTATTATTTGACAGCTTTCGGAAATTTTGTAAACGCTACGCGTCGCCACTGTCGCGCATATAGCCAATACGGTCCGTGTCCGTATTTATGAGGGAAATTCATGACTTTTTTGGTTTGTCAGATTCTTTCTGACTAAAAACCATACTATTCCTTTTCCTGCTCCAGACTGGAGTCACGGCACATTATTGAAATTATGCTCGAAACCCGAGCTAAGTATCGACCTTATCTGAAATGGTCCAAAAGCACTTACAGGACCTACGAGTCTTAGCCTTATAATAATGAAGGCTGACGACAAGGGTGAATTGGGTAGTTTATTGTTGGGTAGTCAAAAATAAATTAATTCGACGTTTTAATGCAATAAAATATTGAAAAATAACTATGTATACTTTTATTCATCAATCGATCGATACACTAAATTTTAGATATTTTTAGCAAATTTTTAAGAAATAAGTAAGTTATTTGACGCAAAAATACTATGAAGTCATAACTCAGTGTTTCATACAAATTTTGTAGAAAAGTATCGTTTTTGACATTTGGATAAAAGTATTGAATTTGACTAGTTGGAAACTACCGTTTTGAGCAAAGAGAATATACATTGCTTTTGAGGGTGGTCCTTTGGTCCTAATAAGACTTCTTAAACTAATGGAAATAAAAACAAAATATGCACAAAAATATAATTTATTTCTTAAAATTAATTTGGCATTAAGTCATTTCTATTTTTTTATTTTCTCAATATTAATAACTTTATGTACAATACCATTTACAGAATTATCTAAGTACTTAATTGTTACATAGTTTTTATACTTATATTGGAGTTTAAAGTCCTATGATTTCTGACCAGTAGAATCAAAAAGCATAGGATTAGGTACATGTACGGTAAAAGTCGTTGCATGATAAGTCGGCTATGGAGCAGACGGATTACCTACCTGATGGTAAGCAATCAGCGCCTCCCATGGACACCCGCAAAACCAAAGGAGTTACGAGTGCGATGCCTTTTGTAATGATGCAAGTAATACAAGTTCTTACAAGCAGTGGCTAACGGCAGAGAAGTGGGCACTTGACATCAAGTCAAACTAGAAACTTTCGGAATTGTCAAAATGAGCATTCTTCTATGAAATTGTCTACGGGAAACAAACAGAATACTGATATACTGTATACTGTATACTGATTTCTTGAAAATTTACTATAAATACCTATATAAATTTAGAATACCTATATCGTAAATTCAATGAAATAAGATTACGCGTGCGTTCGTGCAGCGGAATGTTGTTGAATTTAAAGATTTTAATTATGCAGATATTTAGTGTATGACGTCGTTTAACTGTGTATGGTAAAAAAAAATTTGTGCGCGCAACCATTGTGGAGAAATTCACCAAAAACTGATTCCGCTGGGCGAACGTTGTCCTGGCGGAACTTTTTTTAATCCATAGACTTTAGAAGAAAAGAGATGTATCCAAAAATTAGTGTGTATTTGTGTGTAATTGTGTATGTATGAATAAAACTAGTGCATGCATAAACTTCGGAGAAATTCAAGTTTCCGCTGCGCGAACGTTTGGCCATTAGCTAGTTTTCATATAAAGCGCTTACATAGAGAGCTGTAGATTTTTACATACGTTGTTTTGAATTTGTTTATATTTGTTTAAAAAACAGATTTAGAAAAAATCGTAGGGTTTAAAAGATAAAAATATAAACGTAAAATACGCTTATTAGGTCTTAGTTCTTATAGTATGCACTTTGGGGTCTAGATTTTCACGTTGATACAAACCTTGTAAGTGTCTGCAACATGTTGCCAAGTATCAATGATGTTCCGTTAGTAATTAAATAGTTATAGGACAAATTTACCATGAATAGATCACTGTTTACAAAGCAGTCAAATATCACGACTTTCTAAATGAATTGCATGGTAAAATGTATGCCAATAATTAGTGTATTCATTCAACTATTCACATGCAAAATTTCATGTCATTAAATTCAGTAATTAAAGAAAAACAATTATAATACTGACGAAGCATCGAAAACCTACATAACCCGACCAAGTTCGGATGGCTACAAAAAAGCGGCCGTGCCATATATCTAAGAAACGTTCTTAACTTTCCAATATAACATTTATTAATATGGTACAGTATCGTACACAAGCGTTAGGAAAAAATAAAACACAGTATCGTACACACGCTCGTGCATGCCTAGTCTATTGGTTAAATAGTGTAATAAGCTACAATATGATAAATATTTACCTAAACAGTAGTACATACTTACATGTGGTAAATATTTAATTTCCCTAAGGGGTCTATAGTTAGAATCCTGATCCGTGAAATCTTCAATAGAAATTAGTTGTATGAATTTTATTTGTCTTAAATATAATTGGATTATATCTCAAGTCTCAAGCGCATACTTAAATAAAGTACCTACGTAAATAGTACCTACTTTCTGTCATAGTCAAATACATTTAAAAAAGTAGGTGTCCAAAAAGAAATGACCTATAAATTATTTCGAGATAACAAGTGTGTTATCACCTGTACCAATTCAATACCGGTATTATACTGTAAATTTTGGGATGTTACCTAAATATATTGCACAGCCGCTTTTTTGTAGCCATCCGAACTTGGTCGGGTTATGTAGGTTTTCGATGCTTCGTCAGTATTATAATTGTTTTTCTTTAATTACTGAATTTAATGACATGAAATTTTGCATGTGAATAGTTGAATGAATACACTAATTATTGGCATACATTTTACCATGCAATTCATTTAGAAAGTCGTGATATTTGACTGCTTTGTAAACAGTGATCTATTCATGGTAAATTTGTCCTATAACTATTTAATTACTAACGGAACATCATTGATACTTGGCAACATGTTGCAGACACTTACAAGGTTTGTATCAACGTGAAAATCTAGACCCCAAAGTGCATACTATAAGAACTAAGACCTAATAAGCGTATTTTACGTTTATATTTTTATCTTTTAAACCCTACGATTTTTTCTAAATCTGTTTTTTAAACAAATATAAACAAATTCAAAACAACGTATGTAAAAATCTACAGCTCTCTATGTAAGCGCTTTATATGAAAACTAGCTAATGGCCAAACGTTCGCGCAGCGGAAACTTGAATTTCTCCGAAGTTTATGCATGCACTAGTTTTATTCATACATACACAATTACACACAAATACACACTAATTTTTGGATACATCTCTTTTCTTCTAAAGTCTATGGATTAAAAAAAGTTCCGCCAGGACAACGTTCGCCCAGCGGAATCAGTTTTTGGTGAATTTCTCCACAATGGTTGCGTGCACAAATTTTTTTTTACCATACACAGTTAAACGACGTCATACACTAAGTATCTGCATAATTAAAATCTTTAAATTCAACAACATTCCGCTGCGCGAACGCACGCTAAGATTACCTATTAATTTAAATACCTATTTTGCTTCTATTTTACTAAAAGGAACCCTTTTAAATACAAAATTTGGGTCGATTCAAATGTCGATAGCAAACCGAAACATTTTGGCAATACAGATAGATCAAAAGTCACAGACTTCTAAGGTTTTGACATTATAAACTGTCAAATAGTTACATCTCACAAAGTCACGATAGCTAGGTGGCGCTAAGGTATAACAAAGAGTCAGTAGGTAACCCAAATTTTCTAAATGTGTCTATTTTAAATATAAATAATTCCGGAATTGAAATGCATTTCGTTTATTTTCTTTATTAATTATGTACCTTGACTAATAATATTTATTTATGGACACAGTTGCTGAGACAAGAAAACTAAAAGAACAATTATGTAAGTGCGAAGTTAAAAAAAAAATAGTTTTTGACTTAGAAATAGCTTTAGAGAATCGGCCATTTTTATTTAATAAAATACTTTGAATAAATAAGTAAAAACTAAGTTAAATAGTTTTTAAATAACATGATCTAGTATAAATTCAATCACTTATTACATTTAAACATAATATTTCAGTAATATGGAACAATAGGAATTCATTACAATGCAATAATAAATTAAATAGTTTTTTATTTTCACTAATAATTGATAGCAATAAACTACTAAGGGCTAATTTTTCAATAGTCAGATAAATGTTATCTGACGAATAAAATTGTTGCTGTCACTGTCTTATACAAACATTCTGACGCGATAGCATCATAATTATTCCTCAGGTAACTTTTATCTATCCATTACAATATTGTCAATTTTGTTAATATTCAAGCAAAATTACATGAAGACAAGGGAAATTTACTTATTTACATAAAAAAGTATTTGATATCACTGGCTAGTTGTCAATACTTTTATGGAGAGCTGTCGGTTATGAATAATAGATGGCGCTAGCGAGACGTAAAGTCCTGTCCTAGAAATCTAGATATTGATAAAATTTAATACAGAAAGGGTTGTCGTTTTCAATGGAAGATATGTTACTTTATCAATAAAACCATAAGATTGAAAATCTTTACAATAAATTCACGATTTTTAAATTATTTTCTTATTTGTGTCGAAAGTTCCGCTATTGCTTTTTTTTCACTTAAGTTTTAGAAGGTTTGCTCAAAAACTATATTTTATCAAGTAATATTCAAGACACTAACGCCTTCTAAAATCAAAATAAGACACAGCACCCTTCATTTACTAGTTAGAAAGACATTTTAAACCTCGAAAAATAAGAAATCACCAGTCCAAAGGGTTTTGTAACGCTTCTCTAAAAGGTATGCTGTTTTCGCTATAGAATTGAGCGAACCAATTCCTAAACGCTCTGATTGTCTTGTCCGTCTTAACATACGTCGGTGCAGATACGAAACGTTTACTGTTCCATATCACTATGTCTCGTTCAAACTGAAAAAGAAAAATAGGATATTAAAAACTACTATGATCTTTTAATGGGATAGGTCGGCAAATGAGCTGACGGATTATCTACCTGATGGTAAGCAATCGGCGCCACCCATGGATACAAATAAGTTACGAATGTTTTTTTTATTATAACTTTCGTGAGACATTCCAAATTATTTGTTATGTTTAGGCTTACTCACGTAATAATTTGACGAGATACTCGACTAGTTTCAAGCCATGCTAGAGGCCCATATTCATGAGCAGCATTCCGCGACACGCGACTCGGCGACTGTCGCGCTGCTACACTAAGTTACGAGTGGTTAAGGGTTTCGGATATTGAAGGATTTGAGAAGAGAAGAGATTGTGCCTCCGGTAACCTCCCTCACATGGCGAAACACAACGCTGAGGTTATGTCTTTCGGTTAGGTAAACTCAAACCATCAGCTAAAGAATATTTGATCATTCAAAATTCGAGGTGGTTATAAATTGAAGTACCTTTGTTTTAAAACTCGTATTAATTCATGTATGTACGGGAAATGCCAACTGAGCGAGTCCAATAACCTGTGATTAGTTTTTAGGCAACGCTGACTACCGTGTCTAAAAGGTACTTTATTTTTTATTTTATAATATTTACCAATCGATAGTGTTTGGTGTACTGGATCGACTCTCCACGGGATTAAAACGATCAAAATTTAGCGGTGTGTATAATAATATATATATATCTATACTGTTGTCATAAAGAAGAATTGTTCTTTGGAACCGCTGGTCGGATTTCCAAAACTCTTTCACTGGTAGATAGCTACAATGTTCCTGGGTGCTATAATAGGCTATAAAACAGCACCCTACGACCAACAGGAGCCGAGCAGCGGGCGAAACCAGCAGCAGTAGCTAGTATGTGTATGTACAAATACAAATAGTTCAAAACTTACCATAGCGCCCTCTGCCTTAACCGACAGTGCGGCGAAAGGAGCGTTGTAAGTCGGAGAAAACATGCGATGTATGACTTTTTGCAGATTTGGTCCAATCGGGGTGACTGACTGGGAGACTAGGATTGGTCCGACTGGAGTGCTTAGGAACAAACGAACATGGCCGGGTCCAATCTGTAGAAGAAAAAAACATACGAAATGAATAAAATGCTGTTCTTTAGTCTTCTAAAACTCGAGAAAGGCCTTGAAATATTTCTGGAAGGTTTAAAAGGTCAGAAGAAGACACTTAATAAAGAAAAAGAAATATTAGTATTATTTGAGGAGGAACAAAGTTTGCCGGGTCAGCTAGTATTATGTATTATACTTTAGAGGTATGAGAAACAGGGTGGAAAGTTCCTCTTCCTCCATTGAAAAGGGAGGATCCTCCGACCAGGCGAGATGTTCGTGCCTGGCGGGCTACTGCCCGACGGTTGTTGTCGGATTTTTGTATCAGTGCTAATTGTGTTGTAAACTCTTATAGCGCGATGTAGAAACTTGCACGTGATTGGTTCTGTTGTCAATGTTGTGCGATAGATGTCGCTACAATACGATTTAGAAAAAGACGAAGAGTTTCATCGTAGACACGTCTATATGAACAGGTAATGACAGGTCTACGCCCCCACCCCTTTGTTAACTGGCCTGCCATAATGTATATACATATACCTATATGACAGGCAGGGTTACAGCATAGTTTTAAACTCAGTTTGTCAACCGCGTTTGGGCAGTCGCAACAACAACGGAGTTACGGATTTGAAAGTTTTGGATCCCTAAAACTTTCAACTAAAAAACTAAATAAACTATAGTTCAAAATAACAAATTTTAAGGGTACTTTTTATACAGGACATTTGGCCGAAGCCTTTTTTAGAACATAAAGAAAATTAAACTTTATTTTTAATAGAATTACCTGTGTAACTTTAACATCAACGTGTCCAAGGTCGAATTTCATGATTTTGTAATCGTGAGTCAACGCCATTGTGGCTGTGTGGTCTTCGTTTCTGGTCCAAGTTGCTGACCAAACATGGCATCCTGAAAAATATGAGGAGACATGAAATAATTTATTAGGTAAATTAGGTCATCTATATATATTTCATTGCACACAAATGGGTATACTAAGTAGCAGTACATTGTAGAATAGAGAGTAACTGCGAAAAAAGAATCTTGTGATTACCATGGGCGGTCTTATCATTCAAGGCGATTTCTTTTCTTTCTTTTTGGCAACCTTTAGATGGAAATGTATAAAGAAAACTTAGAATTAGGTACCTATTGTCTTTTTTGCCTTTCAAAAATACAAAATAATTTAATTCCAACTTAACCCTAACTTAGGTAGAATTGAAACGTTAAAAAATAGAATTGAATATGAAAGTCAAAGTGTTGATTTGAATGGAGAAGAACGAGCAACGGTCACACTTAATAACCAAAAATGCGATACGTTACACGTTGGCCCTTCTATTATCACACAATAAGTATTAGACACTGGCGCGCCTAACACTATTTATTTGCCGTTTCTAGCAGTTGGGTAAGTTATCAAACATGACGGGCAAGCATTTGGCTGCTATCACGCCTGAAGATAAGCGATGATGCGATAGACGATTGAGGACGTCTACCCATAAGCAACATCACTTCGACCTTGAAGACACCCAGGCCCCTTCGGGGAACACAAAATCCGAATAATAGATTATCTTTCAAGGTATGATAGATAGAGTTTCTTGCTCGTTCTTCTCCATTCGAATCTATACTTTGGAACGAGCACCTAGATCCACTGTCTAAATCTTTTTGACCTTGGCTTTGTATATCAACTTACCTATTAAATCATTCAGTAGAGGATATTTCTCTCCTAAGCCTGACAGCAGCGACATAGTATGTACCGCATTCAAATGAGCGACGTCAGCGCCGTTTTCAGGAATTTCCTGAAATTATTGAAACGATGTTTAAAACTTTAGTAAACTCTGAATTATTGGCGACGAGGCCCAGCCAGATTGAGCGGATAAATATATCAGAATATTGTGCAAATTAGGCCGGAAGCCCAATCCTTTTTCTTTCTCATCTCAAATCCTCATTCCCTAATACCCAGAAGGCAGGCTATTAATAAGCCTAATAAAAGTCGTGGTGGCCCGGAGGTTAAGGCGGCCGCTTCTCATGCATGAGAATGAGAATGAGGTTCGAAACCTGGCAAGTACTAATGTGACTTTTTCCGAGTTATATGTACTTTCTATGATTATTTAGACACCACTGACATACGGTGAAGGTAAACATCGCGAGGAAACCTGGACTTATAATTTCTAATTATTAGTTTGAAATCACCAACCCGCATTGAGCAAGCGTGGTGATTAATGCTCTAACCTTCTCCGTGTGAGAAGAGGCCTTTGCTCAGCAGTGGGCACATATAGGCTGATGATGATGAGGCTATTTATTGAAATGGCTTTAAAAACAACTTACTTGTATATGTGCGCTGACGACATATTCGTTTCTCCCTCGGTAACCCCATCTTTTGAGCTCTGGTAGTTCAGGGACCGTCCATAATGGGTCTCTTCCTTCAGCATCGTACCAGATCCAAACTGCACCGTCCCTTTCGACTGTGTTCCAATGTTTTATGGATACTCCTTTCGGTGCTGTGAAAATAGTCAAACAGTTAAAAAACATTTGCATAAATTAAGTCGTACGCAAGTGTGGGAGAAGCTTGCTTCAGTACGAATGGGTCGGCTCGACCGGAGTAATAGCATGGCCTCACAAAAAGCCTGCGTGAAACAACCACAGCGTTGTTTCGCCGTGTGTAAGTTTACCGAAGGCCCAACCTTATTCCTTCCCCTGGCCCTCCTCAATTGCTTACCATTGGGTAATCCGTCAAGTCGTTTACCGACATGTGTATTTAGGGACACACACAAAAAACATGTTAAGGGAACAGAAAGTGAAGTTTCCTAAGATCGGAAAAGAAGCATTCTACGACTAGGCGAGGTGATCTGACTGGCAAGCTACTGCTAAAGGACTTTACATACATAATTTCATCAAAATCGTTGGTTCTGAGATGCCGCAAATATAATTTTATACAAGTATTGCTTGTTTCATTCGAACAAGAAAATAATAATCTACAAACCATGTTCAACACCCGGCACGCTGACACAGGCGCCATCTTCCCCAAATCTCCATTTATGGAAGGGGCATTCAATGCAGGAACCGCTGACGGTACCAGCGATACCCAAGTTCGCTCCCAAATGAGGACAGTAAGCGTCTATGCAGCGAGCCACGCCGTCTTCCCCGCGGTAGATGCAGAGGTTTTGGCCTGGAGGAGAAATTTATAGGTTAGGTGTGTAATGTGTAGGCATGTTCTCGATAATAGATGGCGCTGTTTATAACCGGCTGTAACATTTCATAGACTGTGAACACCTTTATTTATATTGGAAGCAATTTTTCTTTTAAAAGACGTATTGAAAACAAATTATATGATTGTAATGATTGGCAGAAAAGAAAGAAACAAAAAAGTACTTCCATTATAATATTAATATTCTTAAGACTTGTAACTCATAAATAGATTTCGCTATTTGACGCGCACAAGTGACTATTTTCAATAATTTTAATTGGTTTAATTTTTAGCAGACGCATCAAAAATAATTGCGTAATCATAACATGTTTTAACTTTAACAAAGTTTGAAAAACGAAAGGAACATAATCAATTTTTACGCTACTCAACAACAGATGGCATTACTAACACTTTCAATAAAAGTTCAGCTACTGAACGACAGATGTCACTACTTAACTTACCAAGAGCATCAACTGAAATAACTCCTCCGTTCTTCAATTCTCTACTTTCAGCGACTGCAAACCATCCATTAGGATATGGCGGTGGAGTCTTACTACCTATTTTCTTAGCTGTTTGAGCTCTAGATATGATCCTGTCTCTGTCAGGACCAGGTGGAATGTGTTCAAAACCTATTTCTGTGAATTCCTGTAAAAATGTAAAGATTTTGTTTAAATAAATGTAGGTTGTAATATATATGCTCGTATTTGGTTTATAATTTATATGTACTGAGTAAAGTTAACTACTCGACGAAGTTAATTGAGCCTTTGGTTAAGCAAAAATTAATGGAGTTTTATCAATTTTTCTCTAAGAACTGTTATGGAGTCAAGTTGTTCCAAGTTTATAGCAATAAAAAGCCTTATCCTTAATTCTTTAAAATGCATAACTGGTAAAAATGTCGTTGATGTTATATTGTTTCCCTATTGGCTATGTGCGCGACGGTGGCGACGCGTAGCGTTTACAACATCTGCGGAAGCTGTCAAATAATAACAATGCAAAAATTATAATTTTCTTTGCAAATATAAATAAAAACTAAAGATTAAAATAGTATTATAGTAGTATTTAGTAAGTGCAATTTATTCAATAGTTTTACTGTAAAATGAATATAATAATAAAAACCGATAGCTGATGCGCTTTGCACATAGCCAATAACAAACTTCCCCGTAACAACAACCAAAAAGGCTTCATTGTTCTGTAAATTTGGTGGAGCCAAGTTTCGAAGAGGCCGTCTTGGCCAGACTGATACCAAAATCTACCGATCTTCAATCCCTAACTGCCAAAAGATGGCCACGCAACTTGTAACTGGCCTATGGTTTTGCAGCTGTCGAAGGGCGGCGGCCATTGGTTACCATCTTCATTTTACCAGATGATAAATCTCCTTAAATACCATAAAAAATGTGTAGTAGGAAAAAAACGGAGACTCACCTTTTTAAAAATAATAGGATTAACATAACTCCTATACAAAATAAATAGCAAAAAGTACAATGCGACCGCTAACAATATGTACGAACTGTAATCGTAAATTAATTCCAAAGCGGTTAATGTGAATGCGAATGTCAAATTTAAATATGAAACAAATATTTCTTTGACGTGCTGCTTCGTGAAACCGTTCTGACATTCGCTGTGTAAATATTTGTCAAAAACGTCATCTGTCATTTTCGAACAGGAGTCCATTTTGAATTTCTGTTGTGGTCTAAGATGGCGGTTGGGTGTTCTCTTGTATCTGTAAAGAAAAAAATTTTTGGTTAGTACCTATAAACTAATATTATAAAGAGGTAAAATTTGTAAGTTTGTATGTTTGTAAGTTTGTATGTAGGGGGTAATCTTTGGAACCGCTGCTGGTCGGATTTCCAAAATTCTTCCAGTGATAGATAGCTACAATGTTACTGAGTGCTATAGGCTATAAAACATCACGCTAGGATCAAATGGAGCTAAGGAGGCCCACATTCATGAGCAGCATTCCGCGACACGCGACTCGGCGACTGTCGCGCTGCTCTAGCATGGCTTGAAACTAGTCGAGTATCTCGTCAAATTATTACGTGAGTAACCATAATAAATAAGATTTTTCATTTGTTTGTGCCCTTACTTATAAAACCAGAGGGTTGTTAGACAGATGCTATGTTCTTAATTACGTCCTTAGACCTTGATATACTGAGTACGTTTTCCAAGTTTAATTAAAATCGATTCATTCGAAAAAAGTTGTTGCCAAGATTTTTGAATAGAAAAGTTTTTTGAAAACCCATGTTCAGAATACATGCGCAAATCATGAACAATCAAGAAATTTTATTACTATTATTTACGTTACCGTAAGAAAAAAACTGTGGCATATCTAAATAAATAATAGTCGTGTAGAAATTACTATTATAGCTACTATTTTACGATTTATCATAATTTTATATTAATCGTATCTGAATCTGATCATTTTGAATTAAAGTATTATATAATTTTATTATTTGTGTAAAATCGATTACTGTTCAACGTAAGCCATTGTTTAGTTTTAATATTCACGTGGAATATCATGCAGCATTACTTTAAGAGCTACACTCCGGCACGATGAGTCAGCACGACCGGAATGATACCACACGGCTTCACAGAAATCTGGCGTGAAATAAAACGTTGTGTTTCACCATTTAAGTTTGGTTACCGGAGGTCTAACCCTTCCCTCACCAATCCCTAAAACTCCGAAACCCTAATCTTTTTTTTTGTGGGGGGAAATTCATCAAATGACTTCTCCCGCCCAGTGCAGGGAGGGAGGGAGTGTCAGACTCTTACTGACAAAAACCCCCCTGTTCCTTCTCCTGCTCTGGGCCGAGGTCGCGGTGCCTCATTGCGCTTACCCCGCAACCCCGGATGAACATCAGCCCTGTAGGGCCCCGTCTGTGGTGGTCTATTGGCTCTTTAAGGATCTCTACGCGCCGTACGCTCGGGTCTGGTTCTGGTCGGGGGACGAGCTACCCTTGCTCGCCGGCCGCCGACGGCGCTTACGTTGGCCGGAGATCATCTTTCGATCCCCGACGCCCGGAATGTCGCCTATTGCGACGGCTAGGACCTTCTCCTGAAACCGCGTGTGGAACGCTACCCTTACGCTTGGGTACTTAGAATAATCCAGATATTGTAACCAAACCAAGATAGCACATCAGTATTGTTTTTCGATTATCTTTAAGTGTATAATACAGTTCGGAACCTCGTATGACACATCCATAGTTTTCATTATCTCAAAAGAAATATTTATTACATATTTATCATATTATTATTTAAATTACGATGATTAAGATTAAAGAAAAATTCCTTTAACTGCTTGGGGCAGGCAAAGTAATTCTTATATAATTTGTTTTTTTATTTAAGAATTTACAACGGGCCAGCATTTAGCCTTGTTTCGACCTACGATGAAGCACGCCTACCCATAACCAACCTATTCACTTGGGCCTTGAAGACACCCAGCTTATTCTTCGGGGAACACGGACTTCAGCAAAGAGTTCTCGAAGGATAATCTCTTTACATGAGCCGCTGTTTACATGTGAACTTATATACGTGTGTAGCCTGGACAGTCACCGCTGCCATCAGTTGACTGGACAATCTCTTTACATGAGCTGCTGTTTACATGTGAACATTAGCTCATGACGATACCTAATTACGTGTGTCGCCTGGACAGTCACCGCACCATCAGTTGACTAGGCACTCTCCTTACATGAGCCGCTGTTTACATGTGAACTTTAGCTCAAGACGATACCTAAGTACGTGTGTCGCCTGGACAGTCACCGCTACCATCAGTTGACTGGACAATCTCTTTACATGAGTCGCTGTTTACATGTGAATGTAAGCTCAAATTGTTGCTAAGCAAATGTATGTGACAATATGACCCATATTTATATTTAAAACTGCATACTTACGTAGCAAGGTCGCTAATTTCTAGATATTAAGTCTACGTAATATGTATTTAGTAATTTGATCACTTCGTGTGTTCAATATCTATTTCAATGTTTATATATTAAACATATTTTCTTGTTGCTTCCGTTTCAGTGTTCGCGTCATCGGAATAAAATGCGTTATCGTTACGTAAGCTGTATTGTGACAGCGCATCCAATGTCGTGGTGGCCCGGAGTTTAAGGCGCCCGCTTCTCATGCATGAGGGTTCGAAACCTAGCAACTACCAATGTGACTTTTTCCGAGTTATATGTACTTTCTATGATTATTTAGACACCACTGATATATGGTGAAGGATAACGTCGTGAGGAAACTGGGATTTATAATAATTTCCCATAATAAGTTTGAAATCGCCAATCCGCTTTGAGCAAGCGTGATAATTAATATTCAAATTTTCTCCGTGTGAGAATAGGCTTTTGTAGATCAGTGGGCACTTATAGATTGATCATGTGAAAACAACAGGTTTTTTATATCATAGCTATTTTCGCAGCTTTGTAGCTTCGTAGCCCATGGACATAACTGAACCGAAGTTACATAATTGCGTTGCGTTGTCTTTTCGGACTCACCGAATTAAGAAATTGGGTGTTTTTTGGAGTTGAGAAAGGCATTTGCTAACTGGTCATTTAACTCAAACTTCGAAACTCAACGTAAGCGTTGTTTTTTATCTTTTTTTTGTTGCCCCACTATGGTTTTGTTCTGTTGCATTGATAAAGATACAAATTTATAAACACAAGCCACTCAGACCGAGTAAGGGCAGCTTGCCGCCCGACCAGAACCAGCCCGAGCGTACGGCGCGTAGCGTTCCGCGCGCGCCTCAAAGAGCCAATAGACCACCACAGACGGGGCCCTAAAGGGCTGATGCTCAGCCGGGGTTGCGGGCTTAGCGCAATGAGGCACCGCAACCTCGGCCCAGAGCAGGAGAAGGAACAGGGGGGTTTTTAGTCAGTAAGAGTCTGACACTACCTCCCGCCCGGCCCTGGGTAGGAGAAGTCATTTGATGATTTTCCCCTCACAAAAAAAAGCCACTCAGATCTGAAACAACAATTTGTAGATCACAGTTCCGTTGGGGAATCGAACCTGATGTTGCGTTGGCAATTTAAGCCGTTTTTTTACGACGCCATGGTATATCACTGTAGTCTGTGCCACACTTTTCCTATCGCTTATCGATTTTATCACCTGATTGTAAACAGTCGGCGCCGTCCATGGAGACAACTCAAGCGAAGTAAAAAAAACGTGACGTCACAACGAGCTACGTCGACATACACACTGCCGCCACTAAACGGGCCGGGTTTGGTTCTGGAGGAGCGGCAAGCTACCCTTGCTGGCTGTCCGCAGATCCGCGCTTATGTTGAGCATATGTCGTCACTGAATCGCCGACCCCCGGAGTGTCTCCTACTGCGGCGGCTGAGGCGTGATGGACAGCTCTATCACGCGCAACACCTCCGTCTTTGCAAGCATAACTGCTTCACAGAAGGCGGAGACGGCTTCCCAGTTCCTCTCGCTTTACACCATGACCTCGACTAAGGCCGGACGTTAATATAATCACACGAAACCATTTGCAGAGAGCGCGTTTTTTTAAAAAATTCGGTACAATTTAATGCAGTTGCTAAATCAACAAAAAAAATAATTTAAATGTCTCCCATTTTGGAAATATTATTATGTTAAAATATGTTTATTGGTGAAACACAACGCAGTGGTTGCTTCACGCCGGTTTTATTTGAGGCCGTGGTATCACACCAGTCGAACCGATCCAATCGTGCCGAAGCATGGCTCTCCCACAATTATTAATACTTACATATCAGTTTTGAAAACAAAATGTAACATGTAGTATGTAGAACTGACTTATTAACTACATCAAAAACAAAGTTTTATTCAAATTCGTACATTAGTTCCCGAGATTAGCGTGTACAAACAGAAAAATAATAATACAACAATTTTTTTTCCAAATTTCTCTCTATAGCTCATTCCATACCACCTTATTTTGCTATATGATAGACAGACAAACTGTTTTATGTATACATATAGATATTATTATGCGTTAAAACTAGTTTGAATCATCATTTTAAAATTGAATTCAACCTTGATCAGTGCGTTCGGTAAAGCCGCGTTCATAATAACGTTTCTCTTGCACTTGTAGCTAAGTATTAAATATATTTCTCTTAAGAAAGCTTCTGTTTCGGTTTCGCTCTCATCATCATCATCATCATCAGAACAGAAGACCTTCACTAGTGAACAAAGGTTTCTCCTTTATTTCTTTACGTTGAACGACAACTGGCCACCTGCATCCATTGGCTCCCCGCGACTTTGACGATGTCGTCCGTCCTGACAACGCTACGTTTTCCGATCCGTGATCGCCTATCGAGTACTTTCCGGGCCCATTGGCCGTCCGTCCTTCGAGCGACGTGGCCTGCCCATTGCGACTTTAGCTTGTAGATCTTACTGCTATGTGGATTTGGTTCTTTGGCGAATTTCCATAATTCCACGTAAAATTTTAGTATATGTGTATTTAACATAACAATACCTTACCGGAGGCCCAATCCCTCCCCTTCCCCTATCCCTTCCCGATCCTTATATCCGCAACCCCTATCCCCAAAAGGCCGCCAACGCACTCGTAACTCCTTTGGTGTTGTGTTACCATCAGGTAATCCGTCTGCTCGTTTGCCGTCTTATACCATAAAAAAATAACATATAAACTTGCATATTACATTTAAATTGATGTGTAAGAGTAAAAAATCGCTTCTCAAGCATGAGGGCTCAAAACCTGGCAAGTACCAATGTGACTTTTCCC